ATTCATCCACCGACGTAATTCGGCACCTGGATTTCTCGCCGTCTGAGGATGCCCTCTGCTCCCTGCTTATTTCTAACTCACTTCTGTCTCCTGTGCCTTTCCCTCTACATTGTTGAGGTTGATTCTGTGTACATTCTTCCATCAGTCTTGAAGCCATTGGTTGATTCTAACAGCTGAAAACCAATAGGCAACATTTAGAACAGTAAAGAGAAAATTAAACTGGGCCTAAATCATTAAGAGTTAAAAAAAAAAACACTTCTGAGTTCTCTGATATGTAACTTTAAAAGAAAAAAATGGAATAGCCCACTATAAAGAATTTTTTTAAAAAACTAAGAAATCTCTCCAACCAGATGTATTCAATAAGAGGCTTTAAGTGGTGTGTACTCATCCAAGAGCATAAATTACATATAACTTATGTAAAATGTTTTACGTATTTATTTCCATTATTTGAACTTGGCTGCTGCATTTTATTAGGACAAGACCTCATGGCACATAATAATAGGCTTGGGGAAAATCTCTGCTTCGTAGAAACTTGTCAGGGTCTTCTTTCCTTCCAGGAAGGCATTTCCTCAGACCCAGGTGACAAAGGTTAAGGGATGGCACACTCCATCACCACCGACCGTCTGCTCGGAAGGTCTGAACGCTCTGGCTTAGAAATAACAGACCCTTGACATTTCTAGGTCTAAGTCTTGAGATCTTTGCCCAAATTCAAAACTATTCCTGGATTAAGTTTACACAAGTTCCTGATTTTCTTTGGAATTATATTTTCCTCTCGTGTCATAAAGTTTCTTACACACACTTTCTCACCCTAGTTATTAATCTTTTTAACTCCTTGTATCTAATGGCCATGGTGTTGGCCATCACCAAGCACACAAACTGAGTGGCTGACACAACGGAAACATACTGTCTCACGGTTCCAGTTCCGAGGGTCAGAAGTCTGACGTCACAGTGTTGGCAGGGTTGGCAGTTCTTGAGGGCTGTGAGCGAGAGTTTGCTTCATCTTCTAGCTCCTGGTGGTTCGCTGGCAATCTTTGGCCTTCTTTGGCTTAAAGAAGCATCACCAATCTCTACCTTCATCTTCATACAATGTTCTCCCTGTGTACTTATCTATGTTCAAGTTTCCTCTTTTTATGAGGACACTTATCATTTTGGATTAGGGCCCACGCTGATGACCTCACCTTCACGAAGTACCTCTGCAAAGACTCTGTTTCTAAATAGGGTTACATCACAAGGCACAGAGAGCACTTCAACACCTGCGTTTCGGAAGGACACAATACAATCCACAGCAGCCATTTATCACATGATTGTTTGACATTTTCCAATCACTACATACGGTTTAACTGCTGAATTTCCTATGCCTGCAACAGAACCTGAAATGCAAGAGGAGCTCAATGAATATTTGTTGAATGAATGAGTGAATAAATGAATGAGACTACAAGTGAGAAAAAAACTGTGGGTGCTCAGAGTTGAGCTCAGCTAACTAATTAGCTGAGTAATGCATTCCTGCCACGAACTTATCAGGAATTAATATAGGCCTCAGCAAAACTGCAAAATACTATATATACCCCATGAGTCTCTAAGGTCACTAACAAATAGTCAGAATCACCAATGCGATAACTCACAAATGTCAAAACCCAGGAACTACTATACAGTGTATATACTTTTAGTAGTAACTTGTTTAAGGGAAAAATAAAGTATCAGAAATAGGGTAGCAAATGATTTCAGTTTAAATAAGTCAAGGAATGCATATCGCAAGACAGCAAAGATCACTAAATGAAACAGTATTCGCCAGATACATTACAACACAGTCTATAAGCAATCCACTGCTATGGCGCTAAATCACGGCGACTCCTTGTTGTAATTCTCTTTGTTATTTTAATAACTAAACCTCTCTGGACAAAACCCAAGATGAATTGTATACTACAGCAAATTGTGTATAACAAGGCTCTATTCTTTTTACCGCAACATTTTTCAACATAGCCTCTCCATAGATAATACCTACATAACAAGGAATTGAAGGTATTCTTCTCTATTTCTCCTAATCATCTCATTCAGATCTTATCACCATGAATTTCCTGGGTACTTGGCTTTAAAATACTGTATTACTACCAACTTTAAATTCAAGCCCTGGGTAGGTCTACATTCATTTGAACAGAAGCATCTTGAAATGTTGAATTATCATCTTCAATTTCCCTCAGTCATTTATTGTAGCTGCCAAACTGAAATGGTGCGTCTTACAGGCAACACTAAACTGAAAGCAAGTAATAAAAAGAGTCTCTTAAATGTTTCATTTATAAAAGCTTATTTTCCTACCATCAAATTTTGTGTACTGTCTGAAATATATCACTTTACAAAATTGACATCGTGCATGCAATTGTTCTGCCCTGATACATTTACTAAACTTCAAGGGTGGGGAGTGGGCGGCGGGAGCCAGTATCTTTTCTCAGCCCTTTTAAACAGGTGAGTCATACAGAGCCAGATGGTTATGGTTTTGGCCTTTGGGGGAAGAGGGCACAGAATTATAATTAAACTGCAGTTACTGACAGATATCACCGTAACTATCTCTTTTCCTGGATAGCTTTACTGATCTTCCTGGCTATATTAAAAGTTATGCACTCCCATGAACGCTTTATGAAGGCACATCGAGTCAGAGGGTGGCTGCTGCAGTGGTCAGTCTGTGACAGCTCACTCTGGTAAGAAAACGAATCTGCAAACCAAAAACACTCAAAGCATTTTCCTGGAACATTGCTCACAAGTCATATATAGCCAATTAATCAAGTAGAACAAATCTACAGAGTTCCATTGTAAAGCCCTGCCACCTTTTCCCCCTAGAATAACTGTTGATGACAACACTAAAGTACTAATATATAAAATAAACAAAATACAGTTTGTATTTCTAAAACTAAAGACTTTTAGACCAGGATAGAGGGGAAAGGAAATATTTTTTATTAGTAAAGTACATCACATTCATATAATGCAGGTTGCTATCAGGGTCACTGGGTAAAAGAGCCGCTGACTTGATCTGAGCAAGTTTGGTAAGTATGCTCTATGAAGGGAGAAAATGAGACGCCAGTGTTTCTTTTTCTTTCCTTTATAGATCAAACTTAGCTATCACACAGGGTCAGAGTCACTGTTCATATCTTTCTCAGCTAATGTCACTTTGTAAAACCAGAATTTCTGACAACTGTTTCCATAAAATCATAGTTTCCCTGTATCACAACTGACTGATTCTAACACACTTTCTACTCCAATGGCCTGCTTAAGAAACAAGTATCTGTATTCAATACATTGTCCGGATCTGAAGCCATTCTTGGCTACATTTGTACCTAATTTTCAAAGCTGTATTTACAAATAATGCCAATCCACTCTGAAGAGCTAAACAGAACCAATTTTTAATCTACAGGGTGTTATAAAAACCAATCAACTTGCCATACCTCCTAATTCCAGGAATGTAAACCATAATTCAAACATCAATTTTCCTCTTAACATATTCTACTTTACTAAAATGAATTCTCATACTGCAACTATGAACACGAAGAAAATTATACTTAAAATAATATTAAAAGACAAAACCTCATTATTTAGTATTAGATTAATAGTCTATAATTCTAGCCTTAAAAATATCTATAGCTATAACATCTCCAACTTATTAATTCCCAAAGAGATTAATAAAAGGTGTAATTAACATCTAAACTTAGAGCAGGCTGTCATTTGGAACAAACTGTTAACAATAACTCTACCAGAGTCAAACAGACCAACCCCTCACCCTTTATGGTTCTGACTAAGGTTAATGAGCACAATTTGTCATAAATTTTCCAGTAACTCTGAAAATCTGAATTGAACAAAATGACTACTTTTTTCCTAACACTATAAAAACAGAATAAAAGCTGGAGTTGTTTTATTTAGAACCCAGCACAGTGTTTGGCAATGGAAATGTCATTAAGTATATGTGAAATGAATAAACAATAAATAAGCAACCCAATGCACTACTACTATTTAGTTTCTTATTATGTGCTAAGTATTTAAAATTACATATAATAAAATGGAATACACTCAAACTGTTTTTTATTTCTACTAATAAACACTGAAAGAACTATTCACCTAAGAATTTCCAATTTAACAGGCTATAGAGTTGGACTTTTACAAACCTATAATTTGGCTTATGATTTTCTATAATTGCAAATATTTCTTTATGAAATTAGAAACATACAGAAATGCTAGTTAAAAGTTTCTCTGCAATAAATAAGGCCACAGGTACACTCCACTTAATTTTAATAACATTTCTCTCTCTCATAAAGAAGTTGCTTTTTTAAAAAGCCAAAAATCTCAATGGAGAAAAAAAGAATGAAATAACTACAAATGTTCTTCCACTTCGAGAGCTGTCTGACATCTGAGCCAGAAGACTTTCTGCATCTACCAGTGACTTCCTCTTCATCTGTCATAGAAAGAGTTCAACATGCTTTACAAAATCCATTACATTTTAAGACCATTTCCAATATCAGCTACCATAAATCAAGAAATCCATTTATTCAAGGTTACTTATGGAAAATTAATCACACAGAAAATTTTAACAACTTCTTTTTCAAAAATTAAAGTGCCTTACTGTACTTGGCATTCCTATACATGATGTGGATTCAAAGACTGAAAGCATTAAGGGAATATAATGAAAATTCATAGGCTAACCCCTAAAAAGTAATTTTAATATTAGAATTATCTGTAACAAATATTTCAGAAAAAAATAAATCAGAATATAAACACAACATAGTATCATTTGAATTTCTCCTCTGCTTAAGTAGCATTATGTTGCTCCAAACACCTGCATATACAGTACTTGGAATCCTCAGAAATGTAATCAAACAGTCTAGAAAAGTGAGACCAACAGAACGGTGGGCACTATGCATCAGAAATACAACTCGTGAATTTTTCTAGTCCTAGTGATTTCTAAAACCTATGTTCCTACTTTCGAGGCCAAGTTTATTCAAAAGAAAAGAATAAACAGGTCAGCTACACGACATTTACAGCCTTTATTGATAGGATACAGCCATTATGCCAAAATTCAGCCATCAGTATACAACCTCATTTCCCATCTATAATTAATGAGAAATATTTTACTTTAAATGAGACACAGAGACAAAGTGACAAATATCAAAGTATAACCTTAAAGTCTTAAATTCACACTTCAAATATCAAAAGAAGCAATTTCCAATATCATGAAAACATGATGAAGTAACTACACAGAAAAAAAAGTCATTTCACTCTTTTTTTTGTACATAGTGAAAACAGATGTATTTTAACGTCAGCCTTCAGAAAGCATACTTCATAAAGTCATTCATTTAAAATAGACAAATGTTTACAAAGAACATTTAACTTAAATTTCATAGTTGCTTATAAAATGGTACTTGAAAAGTGACCTATATAAGGAAATAAGAGTCTAGTCAAGAGAGATGGTAAACTATAAATATAAAATATACCACAATGTTAAAATCTCACAGTGTTCTATAGAAAAATCAATAAAGATAACTTAATCCTTCTGGGGGAGAATGTATTTAGCATTACAAATTTAAATGTAAATTTTATATATGAATTCAATAAGGAATACATTTAAACTACACATTGCCACATAATCATATATTTTGTGTAAAACAATAAAAACGAAATACTTTTTGAACATGTGTATATCAAAACCAAAAGGTTATTTTTTACTTTTTCCTTTATTGGCAACTTTGGATGCATTTTTAGGTTTTGGTTCCCAGAGAGCATTTTTTACAAATCTTGAAGCTGCGCCTCTGTCCAGCTTGGCAGCCTTTTTCTTGTCTGTGATTTCCTTGACTCTGTTCATGTACACTCTGATTCTTTCCTAAAAGATAAAAAGGAAGAAGAAAAGCAACAGGTTTACTAAGCTGTTCACCGGCAGTGAGTTTCACTGTACTGCACTTCAGTTAGATCCAGCAGACACGCGTCCACTGCCTACTGAGTGGAGCTGCGCGTGCAAGCGAGTAGCGTAAACGTGCTCCCTGCACTCCTGGGGTTCACAGCCTAGGGAAATACAGACGTTAAAAGTCATTTCAAAAGTGTTCTGAGTGTTTCAAAGGAGGGAAAACTATATATACTAAGACATCTCTACAGAGATAAACATTGAATTGTTTACATGTTCTTTAATTTAGCATTAACCTAAATCCGCATATTAGCTCTTATTTACCTGAAGTCTATAATCTAAAATAGAGCTCTCATATACTTGCAACATACAAACTAAACTCCCCTAAAAATTTTCTAAACAGAAACTGGGTGAGGCAGGATTGATTTTTTTATATATATTACCTTGGAGTGTCACAATTAAAATAAGCAGAATGAAAATATAAAATCTTTTATTTGATATCACAGTTTTGATTGATAAGCACAAATTTTCTAATGACATATACAGTTCTAATCGAACAGGCTGCCATACCATTAAACTCTCCTGAGCTCATTAATCAGAATGAAGGGCTATTCTATATTTCAATTGGAGAAATAAAGGTAATGAGAGCTATAAAATAACAGAGTAAATGATTGATCACTGCTTAAAAGCAAGTTTCATTAAAATAATCAAAATAGTGACATTACCATACACACAAAAATGCAGAACCTCAGAATCTTTTAATTGTAAAAGACTGACAACTCTGCCCAAAATCTTCCATGGCCCACTACTTCTCTCAGAGTAAAAGCCAAAGTCCTCACAATACACACCCTCTCCGCCCCGCAAAGGACCCAAAGCAGAACATCCACAGAGCCACTCCTTCTCTCCCTTCCTTCCAGTTCAGTCAAATGTTAACCTCGGTAACAGGCCTACCCACACCATTTACAATGGTATTCCTACCCAGACACGCCAACCCCCCTACAGCGTACTGCTTATTTTTTCCTGTAACATATACTCTAATATCCCCTAACATATTACATATTCATCTGTATTTATTATGTTTGTTTGTTTGTTTGTTTTATTATGGTGCCTCCTTCCACTAGATGGTCTGCCATCTGCGACTGGGCAGGGATATTTAAAGGCTTTATTCACTGAGTAATTGCCTCACTTGAAAATAATTCCTGGCTCCTACCAGGCACATAAATATTTGTTGAATGAATAAATTCACTATTTTCAATGCCTTCCCCTATTCATGATATCTCTTACACACTAACTCTGTGATCAATTAGTGATGTCTGCCACAAGGCCAGAAAAGCAGAAAAGGTTTATATATTCTTTTTATTTGTCAACCCTTGTCCAGAATATGAATGTACCCCTCCATAAAGTGGGTTCTGAGGGAGAAAGACAGATGATTTTTATCTTTTTCCAATGACAAGACCAAGTATTGAAATACTCCCCAAAACTTTGTTATTAACTTTGTTATATAACTTTGTTAAAGAAGAGAGAAATTTTACAAATGTAAAGTCTCAATAACTTTGTGTTAAAAAGAGAAATTTTACAAATGTAAAGTCTATATTAGAAAGTTGAAAACAGATGACACACTGCGAACTTCTTAGGATTTCAAGTCAGTATCACTACTCAGAACAAGATCTGTGTACCATATTGCTTTATATTTTGCTTTAAGTATTGTTTCACAATGTCTACACTTTAAAATAAATTTTTCCCAAGAACTTTAAAAGAAGAAAATATCTTAGTCCACACATTAACAAAATGAAGACAACAGATCTGGTTTATTTTTTTAAACATAAATGACCAAGTACTTTACTGTTATACACACTTTACTAAGTTGTATATGACATACACATCAAGTACTATAAGACTTAAGGACAATAATACAGTATCAAGTGTATTCACACATATATTTAACCTTATATTTTATAAACACAAAGAATAAATTATTATTCTTATGCATAAAGCCAAGTCAAGAAGGTAACCATCAGTTTGATTTCTAATTTTTCTCTTTTAAATTGGATTATTTGATTTAATTTTTGAAGTCAGCAAAAACTAAGTTACCAGACCTTATATACGGTACTTATACATCCAAATGGAATACAAAGACAAACCTAGAAGATTTATTATAGGTTGTAAATATGTCACTAATGCAGAATTACTGGACAGTACACATACAACTGGTGCCAAAAAAGCTTTTAGCTTTGTTGCTGAACTGGATTCTTTACTGCTGAGAAAATGAATTAATGGAAGAATTGAAAAGGTGGGGGAGAAACTTTCCCGTCTTTGCTAGTAAATCAGCTAGAATACACTTTTAAGAATTGTGTAAGAGTTTTAGAAAAGGGGGGCAATTGTAGAGATGAACAGGATTTCAAGAATTTATAAGAAAAATAATATGGAAGTTATAAATAATTACTAGAATCATGACATATTTTTTCCATCAGAGATTTATATAATATATGGAAAACCAATTCTCTGACAGAGATAAGAAAAAGAAAAATTAAAGACATGATGAAATCTGACTCACTTTCACAACTTCAACTCAAATAATTTAATTCTCCACAGTTAGTATGATAAAGGTACCACGACTTTAACTTCAGGAATACTACAACAGACATGTAAAGTAAAAAAAAATCCACTGAATCTTACCAATTCCTGCTTTACTGGATGTTCCTTAGGATTAACTCCCTGAGTTGCCAAATAAACTACAAGAGAAAGATTTTTTCATGAAATAAAATGGTGTATATATTAATTAAGAGCATTAATCAAAAAAACTTTAGTGACTCACAAAAAAGAAATGTCACACAAATGATTGATTAAATCCTAAATTATTCAACCTCTATGTAATAATAAATATGTGCATGACTCCTGGGCATTTGGTATTCTGACTCAAAAGAAATAAATATCTGACTATTAAAATTGTCATAAAGTATAATTGTATATAAACTGCTAACATTTAAAAAATAAATCACCCTTGACTCAATAAATAATTAGCTTTCTAATTAACTACGAAGTAATATACATACCCCAAAACATTGAATTTAATGTGTAAGCAGAAACTAAATCCACTTTTGCTTGTTCAAGTGGGTCCAACTATTAAAAAGAGAGAGAAAAGAAATTCAAACTCTGAGAACCGTCACATATTTTAAACTTTCATCAAACACAATGTATCAAAGAAACATTTTTTTTTTACTTCTTATAATCCAATAACCAAATGATCTGGAAATAATTTGCAAAAAAAAGTTTTGTTAGCCAGTGAATTTTGTCCACAAACTTTCAATTCAGGGTACCATCTTTAGTTAGACAAGGAATGTGTATAATCCAAGAAAAATTCTTTTGAATTATTTTAATTTCAGAAGTTACGATCTGGGCTTTGTATGTCAAAAGTAATTTATCAATATAAACATTGTACATGATGCATTTATGTATAAGAAGCAGGCTAAAATGCTTAGGCGATACCAAAGACAGAAGAAACATAATGAGATTTGTTTTAGACTGTCAAAGTCAATTTACTTTTTTTGTCCTATAGGGTTTCCAGAACTCTGATAACATCATTGTAATACTTAAAGGTCAAATATAGAGTCTGTGGAAAAGAATGCTGTGAGTGGTCCTTTCTTTTTCTTTCCCAAACCAAGTCAAAATAAAATATAGCTAAGAGGTATTTCCTAAGATTGGAGTTTTATTTTATCCCCTAAAAATACTCAAACACTTATAAAATTAAAATAAAGGGGGAAAGGACTATGCATATATCATTAATCTATCTCTTAACACAGCACTCTGTTTTAGGAATTACATCTTTAGAAATTACATTTGTAAAGTACCTTCTGCAACAACTCATTTCTAGAAACAGACATCATGGTCTTCAGCATGTCATCTACAGCACCAATGGAATTCTCAAATGTTGATAAATACTCATGAATTTCTGCTGGATAGTCTTCATTAATTTCCTCTTCTGCCATTATGACCAACTGGAAAAAAGTAAATTCTTAGAATCCATGCTGGAGATAGATATTGCTCTTTAGGTTACCAAAAACAAACAAAAAAACACATTGGAGACAGAGATTGCTCTTTAAAGGTTACCAAAAAAAAATCAATACCATGTACTTCAAAAGTACTAAAAATGTTAAAACCTGAAGATAATTAAACAAATTTTAGAATATAATCCTTGAGCAACTACATCTAAAATTCCCCTCTTCTTAATCTGTTTGGGAAGGTGGGGCAGGTGGAGAACAGGAAACAGATGCACCCAACTTTACTAATGCTACATATATCAAACTCAAAACGCTTTTCAAAAACTGAACACATGACTACCAAACATGGAATGTAAATAGTCAAAATCCTACATTTAAAAAACTTCCTCTTATCTCTAGCCAGGTAACTCAGTTGGTTAGAGCATCATCCCAATACACCAAGACTGCAGGTTCAATCCCCAGTCAGAGCACATACAAGAATCAACCGATGAATGCATAAATAAGTGGAACAACAAATTGATGTTTCTCTCTGTCTCTCTCTCTCTCTCTGTCTTTCTCTCCCTTCTCCCCCACCTCTCTCTCTAAAATAAATAAATAAAATTTTTGTAAAACTTTCTGTTGAAGTATATCCCCTAATGCTTGCTGAAAAAATAATAAGTAAAGCTCTTTTTTTTTCTTGAAGAATATATATATTTTAGCCCTCCTAAATTTAGGTGTTGATCTAGCACCATGGTATATTAAACTAAAAAATGAGAAATCCTAGGTCTGAAGTAATCTTATGACTATTTATCACTAAAATCATTTTAAGCCTCTCTCTCTATATATATTCCTTAAGCTTCTCTAAAATATTAAGAAATTCAAAGAGTCCATAAATCACATAAAGCAGAAAAGAGGAAACTGGGGAGAAATAAACTATATGGTTTTCATTTAAACTAGAGCATACCTTGACAGCCCATTCTTTTAAAATTCACATTTAATCATAATATTTAATATCTATGTGAGAAAAAGCAAAATCAACATCAATGTACTTCATATGGTATCTAAGACCAAATTTCAGAAACAATTCTAAGCCATACATACCATGTTTAGATTTAAAAATTTTTTTTCATTAGCTGAAAATACCTCTTTCATATGACACAGCTAAAGAGAACAACAAGAATGTGGTAAAGCAGCACAGTGCACAGCAAAATTAAAGTAAAAAGACTCAGGCTTTCCATCCTGCTTGATCACTGACTTTGTCACCTTCGACAGATCACTGAATCTCTCTGGACCTCAAATACCTCATCCATAAAATGGTCTAATGACCTGTAAAGGACCCTTATAGTTCTAAGTGTTATAACTATGTAATTTAAGTTTAAAAAGTACTATTTGAATTTTAGCCGCAATATATCAACACTTCTATTCCACAAGTATATATTCCACTGAGACATCTGGGTTCACTTACAAAGAAAGCGAACAGCATCTGACTATCACTACTTGCACTGTAAAGTTACCATCCAACTGCTGTGCAACCAGCAATCGGGCAAAGAACTGTGATAAAAGGAAAGCACACAGGAAAGAATTGTGACTTCTATTTCAAAAGGCTAACTGAAAACATGTATTTGCCTCTCATCCCTCCCCAAAACCTCCCCAAAATGATAGAAGAAATATAAAAATAAGTCCATAGTAGCACTGAAAACCAAAAAGGGCACATACCAATCAGCAAGGGATATACTGCAAATATAGAAGATTCAGTATTTCTTCTCTTTATGTAAAACCATAAACTAATAAATTTGAAAATATGAATAAAAAGAATGAAGTGCTGGGAAAAAAAAGAATCAATTACCAAAAATAATCTAAAAGAAGTATATAAACAAATAGATAATTAACCATAAGGAAAAAATTTAAAGGAAGTCAAAGATCCACCCTCCAAAAGGGATCCAAATCTAAAAGATATTAGAGGTGATTTCTTCCAAACCTTCGAGAAATAGTTAATTCTTATGGTATTTAACTGGTTAAGAAAACAGGAAAAGATGGAAAACTCAGACACCTATTTCATAACATACACAAAAATAAACTCCAGATGAATGCAAAAGGTAAATGAATAAACATATTAAAAGATTATATAAAATATTTATATAATCCAAATGAAACCCAAATGCTATAAAATGAAATGGCTGACAGACTTAACTACATAAAAACTAAAAAACTATGTTAAAAGTTAAAAGAAACAACCTGGGAGAAAATATTTGCCAGAATATAACAAAGGATTAGTTAGATTATATTGAGTTCCTAAAAAGCATTAAACAAATTGAAATAATGAAGATATCACCAATCAGATTGGTAATAATTTTAAAGATCATCCAAGTTCAATGTTAGCAAGGGCATATACTGAAGGTAGGATATACATTGGTACAGATTTTTTAAGTGCACATTCCCTTTGACTCAGGAAATCCTCTTAAGAATCTAGCCTACAGAAATCCTTGTATGCATGCATACAAATTTATCTGAATGGACTCTTCAAACTCTTCTCTGAATTTCCCCTACTTTTCTTGCATCAATTTTCCCCTCTGCTGAATCACCATTACCCATAAATCTTAAAGCATTTTATTTCTCCATCTTAGACAAGAAACAAAAGAAACATCTTGATTTCATATCCCCCTTCAGCTAAAGCTCCATTTTCTATCTTCCTTTTAGAACTTCTCAAAAGAGTTGCTTACACTAATAATCCAATTCCTCTCCTTCCATCCTTTCCTGACGCTAATTCAAACAGGCCCCAACTTCTCACTCAAACTTGCTCTTGTCAAGGTCACCCACTCTCAGCCCCATCGTTAAGTTTAATGGTCAGTTCTCGTCATTTGACTTCACGGACCCTTCTTTTGGTTTCCAAGGCATCACATATTTTTTGGTTTCCCTCCTACCTCACTGGCTGCTTTCTTGGTGTCTTTTGCTGGATCCTTCTCATATCCTCAGCCTCTTAACCTTGAAGTGTTCCAAGGGCTGTCCTTGATTCTCTTTTCTTTTCTAATTTACTCCCTAAATTAGCTCTGTGCTTTAAATTGTGTCAATAAACTGATGACTCTCAGGTTTGTATCCCCAGCCCTGACCTCCCCACTGAATTCCAAATCTGCATTCCCAACTGCTTACTCAATACCTCTGGTTAAACAGGAATAGATTCTCAAGCATAATGTGCTCAAAGCCAAATTCCTAATCTTGCCTACCCTAGCCTTCCCCACCTCATTTCATGGTAACTTCATCTTTCCAATTGTTCAGCCCTAAAAATTTCAGAGAGGTCCTGAATTCTTTTCTCTCTCACCCTATCTTTAAATATCTTCAGAATCTAACCTCATCCTACCACCTCTACTGCTACCACCCTGATCCAATCCAGTCCAAGCCATTGCTGGGCTTTCCCTAGATTATTGCCATAGCCTCTTAAATGACCTCCTTGGTTCCAGTCCAGTAGTTTAAAATCAAGAAAAAGCAGAGTGGTCACTCCAAATCTATGTCAAACCTCTGCTTGGAAACTTCCAAAGGCCTACCACCTCACTTACAGTGTAAGACAAAGCCCAACACAATTTGCCCTCCCTGCATCCTTCTGGGACCTCAGCTCCTCCCACTCTAACCCTTGCTTGTGCCCCACCAGAAAGGATGGCATCATTGCTCCTCCCCATCACAGCAGGTAGGCCCCTACCTCAGGGCCTTTGTACTTCTTCTCACCTTCACAGAATCTCCTGCTTCTCCTTTCTGCCCCCCACCCAGCAAGAGCTTCAGAGCACCTGCCGGAGCTTTACTCCAGTGTCACCTACTGGTAAACCTTCCCTGACCACCCTCTTTTAAAATGCATGCCCCTGCACTCCCTATGTCCTTCTCTACCTTACAGTCCTCAATAACACTTGACATATTTATTTTATTCATTTATTCCCAGCCCACCTCAAAAGACAGTAACTACATGAGAACAGAATTTTTTGTGCTTCATTTTGTGCTAGCAAAGCACTACGTGGCAGTCAATAAACATTTGTTGAATAAATAACCAATAACAAAATACTGGAAAAAACCTATTCATCAATAGGAAAACAGCTAAATGAATTATAGCACATCCACTAAAACAATATTAAAAATAAGCCAGCTCATAAAGGTTCATTTGGACAAATCCCAGCAGAACAGCATGGAGCACAAGGTTGAAACTTTGCCTGATGTCTGTAAGAAGGTCACAGGCAAGGATGAATGTTGGTTTTGAATTCCCAGAGTTTTAGTTGTAAATAAAAATGACTAAATAAAATAATGTTCACAGTAAAAAAAAGAAAAGAAAGAAGTAAATATTTATGTAGTAACACATAATGCGAAGTGGTGAAAAATGTCATAGAACATTGTATGTAACATGTAATGTAACATGTAACATTGTATGTAACACGTCATTTGTTTTTAAAAACCTGTACCTGTAGATATGTAAAAAGATTTGAAGGAAACATAAAATATTGACATTTGCTCTGAGAAGAGGCAGGGATTAGGGAGTAGAATCAAAGCAGACCATTTTTTTAAACTCTTCATTCTTCATTGCTTAAGTTTGTCACTTCATAAGGCATGTTAAATTTGTAATAAAAAATAATCATTAAATTTAAATAAAGGGACATTCTAATAAATATTTTGGCTTTTAACAAACAATGCAAGTATGAAAACATCAAAAAAAGGCCTTTATTTAAACATAATTTTTTTCATCCAATTCTTCTATTAGAAAATATTTTCCTCTCTAGAATCAAAATGGGGATTTTTTTCCTGCAATTATTCCCTGTCCCTAAGCCCCAATAAACAAGTAGTTATACATTATTTAATGGGTTAGGGTGAACACTGAAAGCAAGGCAGTAATTAAGAATAATTACTCTCATTAAATCTGAACTGAACCACTTGCCCTTTACCTAACTAAAAAAAAATGGCAAGGCAGACTAAAAGATAAAAGTTCTTCTATGACCAGAGATTCCCCCCAAATCAAATGATTTTTTTTCTAACATCTTATATGGACA